AAAAAAGTTAATGACAATATTTAGTTTATTTTCTATCCCATAAGGGCTTCTGTCTCTCACTCCTTATTAGACTTTTACTTACCTTTACTCACATTATTAATGATGTTGTGTTCTCACCTCTGCAGAGAATTTGTTCCCAGACACTTGTTAGGTTCTCACCACAATTAACTAATGGACTCACTTTTTTCACGAGCACACACGTGTCTTTTAATTATGTCAGTGTGAGGCTAATTTCCTTTTTCTAGAAGATATTATGGAGTGGGAAAAACTGGGAGTCAGGAGACTCATCCAAGTTCCTGCTTCTTCCCTGTGGTCCTCAGACGAGTATGCTGCAGAGAAATGGCTCACATTCATGTTCATTGTGTTTGCTCAATTCCCGGATTTTAATTATCAGAGGTACAATTACTACATGGGAATGAAGGAGAATGCCCGCCTTCAACATTCTCTGCCAAATACTTTCTGCCTTTTACTTATTAACTAGGAGTGATTTTATCTTTTCATTTGTGAAGGAAGCCACAGCTCATTTTCTTAATTATTCTATGGCTTTTGCATTCAACTTGTGGCCTGTAATATACCTTGGCACTTTAGAGGAGAGAAGGAATATAGTCCTAATTTGGGGCAAAAAGAGCAGCCTCTCCCTTGGGCGGGCTCATGAGTGGCATTGTCATCCCATGAAAGGCTCTCACATATTATTCCAGGCTGTATGCATTCATCTCATGATTGCTAGTTGGGGCAGCTGCAGGCACACCATCACTGATCCCAACCTACCTTGTTATTTATACCATTCTCCTTTCTACCCTACTTCAGACTTGTCTTACTTTTCTCAACTTAGTGGGGGGAAAAAATCAATGTTCTAAGCACAGATCTTCAAAAATATGGCCTCATAAATCTTCCTCATTGAAAGAATTAGCCTGTATTCTAATAGGTACTAATTTAATAATAAATTCGAAAAATTGTCCCATCGCCTACTATAAAATAGAACTACAAAGTCAATTTGGGGGATATATTTAGAGTTATAGCATTCCATTTCTTCTTAATGCCTATTATGAGTAATTGACATTTTAAGGTTATAGAGAAACACATACATCCTTAAAAGAGGAGGAAATGAAAGAGGGATGACATTTACTCAATTATTGCAGCACCTCCTTTTATCCCTGTGGCAACTTAATGTGTGAGTGATAGTAGTCTGAATTTACAATCTCAGATTTATTAAATATCCTTTCTCAAAGATACACAATTAATAAGTGCAATTTACATTCTAACTTAATTTAAGGTCATATGTTGTACTGTGAGATGTCATTCTCTCCCTAGAAGCTGAAAGAAGAGGAAAGGTAGAAAGAAAGTATGTATAAAAATAGTATCAATAGAGGAATTATTTCACTGAGAACTGAGAGAGTTTGTATCATAAAAAAATACTATGAAACATGAAAATAAGGAAAAATGACATATAAAGAAACAAGCAGTTATACATTTGGGTAGGAAATCTGCTTTTAATATAACTTCAACTTGATTTAGTTATATTTACACTCTGTGCCAAATTATTATCTACAGGCAAAGTCATCCAGAAAATTAAGGGAGGCATATGTGATAAACATAAAAATTAAAATTTAGACAGAATAAAATAAATAACATTTAGTAATTACATTAAGCATGTTTTCAATCTTACAGTAAGCTATTTAAAATAGAACAACTGTTCAAAGCATGCTGCCAAATTTCTTCAAAATGACTTGTTTTGAAATGTTGACTAAATATCCAAAAACTCTGTATCAACTTTAGTATAATTAAACATTCTTCAGACCAAAAACAGTTTTTCTTAATATTCTTAAACATAAATTCTATGCGATTTTCTCCTTCATAGTAGGACAAAAAGGGTTATCCATTTGTTAACATTCAAAATAATTTTCAGAAAGTTTCCACTAGTTATATAGACTTTGTAATTTATAAATTGCTTTCACATATTTAACTCCAAAAATTAACCTATTGGGTTAGGTAAAAATATTTGTATTTTACTTGTAAGTGTTTAACATACATTTATTTAATAGATATACATTCACTATTTATTTACTTAATAATATTTACTGAAGGAATTGAATGAATGATTCAAGCTTGAGACTACACCTTCTGATTATTCAGGGAGGCCATGATTAGAAACATGGACAAATTTGTGTAATAAATGGTTTACCGGTACACATGACCAAACACGATATGTTCAATGACATTTCAAACGTCCACCATGCTGTCCCTTCTGTGGTAATGATAGTTCAGAGTTGCAATGAACTTGGTCTTTAATGCAGTATTTACATCAATTTCTATACATGTGTTTGTAATGCATTGCTTCAGGTGACTTGGGTTGCTGTTTTTCACTGAATTAACCTGTACCTGCAGCACTTCAGAAGAAGAGCATTCTAATTTGTAAACAAATTATGTTTATTTCTAGAATTTATAGCTCCTCTCTTGCTTGCTTGTTCTCCCCCCATCCCACAAAGCTGCTTCATTCCTTACATTCCCACAAGCATGGGAAAAAACAGGCTATCTCCTTGTATTTAGTCCTACTTCACAGGCGGAAACCACATAAAGCTGGACATCTCAGGCCACTGCCGTGCAAGAACAATGTTATGCCACAGTTCAGTTTGAGAAACTTAAGATTAGTTACTTCTATCTTTTACTAGTGTTACTGTTGGCCACTCTGCCTCGCACAACTCCTCCCATCAAAATAAAATCATCTCAATTTTGTATTCCATGGATATATTTCCCAGAACTTTCCACTGTATCCTGTGCAACTGGAATTTGAATTGCAAACCGATTGTCTTTTAATGCTATTCAAAGAACACACTCCATACCTTTCTCTCTACCTCTCTCTCTTTTTTTTGGCCTTATTTGAAATGGATTCTTCTAGAAGATACTGCTATAGTATCTTCTAGAAGATACTATAGTATCTTTAGTATAGTATAGAAAATATAGTGTGTAGGTATGTTGAAAGCCTGTTAGCTTTCAACAGGGAAGTTGTTCCTTCTTTCAGTTACCATGTGTCTTGATATGGTGCCCACACATGGGGAAGCATTACATTCTACTTGAAATTCTCTTTTTTTCTAAATTTTTTTTAGGCTTATGCCATTTGTCCTACTGTCTGGTATCTTTCCTCATCACTATTATCCTATCACTATTATCCTACCAATCTTTTTTGTTCTTTCATATGAGGCGCATACATGTGGTTCATTGTTTTCTTTTCCACCACAGATCTAATTATTGAATATGAAATTTTAACTATCAATCGGGTGACTTATCCAATGTCTTACTGTTATCATTCCTTGGCCCACTCAAATTTAGTGGTCTCCTATGGCAATGTATCTTTTTTTCTTGTCAAATGTGAAATAGCATCCAAATCTAAAATTTTAGGTGGCTAAAATCTACTCTCTGTCCCCAAACTCCTACCCTTAAGATTCTCCATTTCCTATTAAACCTCCACTTCCATTTATTTTGGTATCTGGACACTTCATTACTTTTATTTCTCCAAGTACACCAGGCCACAGCTGGCTTCATCCATCATCTAAAGTCCCTGCTACATAGAACATTGGTACTCAAAGTGTGGTCCATAAACCAGCAACATTGGCATCAGCATTTCTTGGAAACTTGTAAGAAATGCAATTTCCTCGGGCTCCACCCAACATTTACTTAAGTCAGAAACTCTGATAGTGGAGCCATGGCAATGTTTTAAAAAGCTCCCCAGGTGATTCTGATACCCTTAAAATTTGAGAACCACTATTATAGAGCATTGACTCAACTGGTGTCTTATGAGCACCTTTAATATCTTTGGCTGGTAAAGCATACCCAAAGGTGAATGCAGCATTATTTTGTTCCCAAACCCTTCCATGCATAAGGATTCTAAAAATGTACCAAGCTCTCTAGCTTTGTGAAATAAAACACTCACTTTCCATATACAATCACCACCTTCCATCCAAATGTTCTTTGTAGTTCCTATTTATCTAAATGTGAATATTGTAAAACATTCAGATGGACAATCCTTAATGATACTCCCAGAGGCACTTTCCTGATAACCATCTTTGGTGGAGGATCATGAGCAATGCTAACTGGCTCAATGTCACCCATACAAGAAAAGGGGGGGACAGAATTTGAAATCAGATCTATCTGAATACAAAACCCATTTTTTTTCTATTTTGCTGCTGAATTATATAAAGTAACAGTTGCATTGATATGCCTTTAGTTGAAGCAGTACCTACAATAGGTTTCTACAGAATTTTTAATAGTGAGTTGCATAAAAATCTATTATCAAATCACTTTGATAAATATCAGGCTAAATAATTTTCATTATTGTAGAACTTTTAAGAGCCTTGAATATCTTTGGTACATATTGATTCCTTTATTTCATCTGCTTATATGCTGTTTTATTCCCTCATGTTTTTAAACTTGTCCCACTAAGCATTGCTTTCCTGCCTCAGGGATGCGTTCAGAAGAATTACATTTAGCATGCAATGTTATAGATATAGTGTGTAAGTATGTGCATGCACTACATCATGTAAATCTCATAAAAACTTTGTGATTATGACATGAAATTACAAATATTTTAGTATCACAATACTGTGACATGTATCCATCCAGTCCTGAATAAGCTGTGTAAAGGTAACAGGCTGTAGAAATTACTTCCCTGCCTAACTATGCTGAACATAAGAACTATGATTTTGATTTAGGTAATAGCTTCCTGCAGCCTGAATATGTATTGATGACACTATCCAGAGGAGCATTTTGCCCTAGGTTTTATTTAAAAATCAACAAAAGTTTACACTGAAAATGACTGAATTCTGAAACTATACTCACTATTGAACTGTTAAGATATGTAATTGCAGCTCACTATATATTATAAATGTAGTTTTAATATTAGTTTCAATTTATCTTCACTCAAACTTGGTTAAACCACTAGGGAATATGTTTAATAGCTCTGTTTTCTGGTCCAGCATATTATCTCTTTTTCTTTCATTGTACAGGTTCTACTGACCTTCTTCTTTGTGTTCCGTGTTCTTCTTGTCCCACTCTGGTCTACTCTGGTATGTTTGCTCAGGGCACTTAATATCAATGCCAGGTAACTATGGGAACTATACTGTAACTGCACAAAGTTTAGGTTGTTTAGAATACATAGTCTAGGACCCACAATGAGGAAAAAGACTTTCCTCCAAGTACTCTGCATAACGGTCCCTTCTTGTTGTGATGTTCTGTGGATCTCAGGTTCCTCACTGAGTCCGTATGCACCAAGAAGGTATGAGGGGGATTTTGAACCCCTTCTTCTTGGCAGGAAAATCACTTTTAAGTATATGTGAGATTAAAATGTATTCCCCTGCTGTGCAGACCATGCAGTCCATGGCACCATTAAATATCACCTGGAGAGACAGCATCTCAGAATCATGGACCAAGTTCAGAATCATGGACATGCAGCTAGTCTATGAACTGGTTATATAATGATGAACATTTTGGAGAATCTTCTCTCAAGCATGTCACAGAGAGAAGCAAAGGTTGAATTTATCCTTAGCCCTCAGAGTCACAGTATATGAAAATTAGAAAGAAGTTTGGAACCATCTGATTCTCTTCCAGTATAATGCTGGTCGTTTCTCTGTGAAACTTCTACCAAATGGTCATCTAGCCTACATGAAATAAGAAGTATGCTGCCTCCTTTCACAGCTCATTCAATTTTGTTTTGCTCTAATTGCTCACTGACCCAATAATTCTTATTAATAAATCACCTAAAATAATTTGTGCAATGCACCACTGTGTAGTTATCAGAATATTATGTTCATTGCACATGTTTTATAATAAAACATGGGAACCATTTTATGATAAAGTATGAAAAACATGTAAAAATGAAAAAATAACCTAATGATCAACTAAAGAAGATTAAAAATTTATAGCAGTCTATATAATAGAATATGAGGCATCTATTATGAAGGATGAGATATATATTAACTGAATATATACCTATATTTATACTGATAATAACTTGATATATCTAGCTAGCTACATCTATATATATATTCTGATGTGGAAAATTTTTTACAATATTTTTACACAAAAAAGTGAGTCAATAAATTAAATATAATTTATTTTTGTTATATATAACACATACACATTATTGTCTGAATGGTTACAAACAAAATGTCTCAAAAAGCTTACGCACCCCCATGTTCATTACAGCATTATTTACAATAGACAAGCCATGAAAACAACCTAATTGTTCATCAATACACGAGTGGATAAAGTTTATATATATTTTATTATGCTACACTATATACATTTCATTAAGCACATTTTGCTTTGTTTTGTTTCTCTCCTACAGGTCTGTGAAACAGGCAGAGATTGCAAGTGGTCTTTAAGGAAATTGCAATTATTCAAACCCTTACGTATAGTTCTAATTTCATTTACTATGTGTAATCATTTAAAGAATGGTTATTTTTATAATATCAATAACAAACAAGTACTCTTGTAACCAGGGAGTGTCTAAGTATGTATCAGAGAACACTAACCCTGGCAAAGGATTCTGGGGTGGTCAGGGTGCCTGCTGCCTTTTGACATGGTTAGTGTCCTGAGTTTAGATTACTTTATATCTAGCTAGTAAGACTACTATTTGATACAGTAAATATTGCCTGATTCAAATAACTTTGCTTAAATTTTTTCTGTATTTTAACTTGTCTGGGGTTTTCTATTTCTTCTATTTTTATAATATTTTCTCATTTTTAGATTAATAAACATTATACTTTACCCACATGTCCCAAGATGTGCCACTTAGGTATCTCTGGAAGTTAGCTATTTGGTGTCATGACTTTCCCCATGTGTTCTGTGCAACAGCGAGGCATATTCTTCACCACTGCTCCTTTCTGCAATATCATCCCTGCTCTTAGCAAAACAAATAATTAATATGTTAACTCAATAAAGCAGATCAATAAGAATAAAATGCATGCCCCAAAGCATATGCAATGAAAATTGTTTGCCCATTTACCCAATTATTGAACCCAATTAAGACCATCCATTTGAAATTTGATATATGCTTGTTTTTGCAATGTATTATGCATTGATGCTAAGTGAATGGATCTAAGTAAATGTATTGAGTATCTCAACTGTCTGTTTTATTTGATTGTTTTAACCTAAGTTTTCTTTCTGGACATTAAAGCATATGATTAAATTATACAGCTGACTGTATAACTGTCAAAGAAACAAATGTTAAAGGACAGAATGTGGCTGAAGAATAAACAGAAAAATTCCAATTGTATGAATGAAGTCATATTCCTAAATCAAAGAATACATTTTCTTACATTAACATTTTCATCAGCATAGAAACTCATGAGACTAATTTTCATTAAAGTTATTTTATTTTATAGGTAGAAACACATTAAAAGCTTAGAAAACAGTATACTTTTGAGCAAAACAGAGAGAACGCAGGAAAGTAAGTTTGCAGAACCAGAACAGTTCTCCATTTAAATATCCTTACCACGAAGAATATTTCTTCACAGTGTCTAACTGAGGATCCAAAATGTTTGCTATGTTTATAATAGTCTTTCTTTAGAGCATGTTTTCCCTAATGCCTTCATCTGAGTCATACTTTCCCCAACCGCTACTTGGTCAGTTTTTATCCTTTTCTTGTCTGCTGACCTGTTCCTGGGGACAGTCACGCTACAATGTGCCACATCAGACTCAGAAATCACATCTGCCAGGATATCAAGTATATATTTCAAAAAAGTGCTACCAAAGACAAACACTAAAGTCATAAGAATAGATTTTAATCAGTGATAAATTATTACAATAGGGAAGAGGGTCAAGGATGAACTGAACTCAGCTTCTATTTGTGCAGAGGTGACTGGATATTCTGAAGAGTGAAGGAGGGAAGAGGAATTGGAAATTGCTTGGGCTTAGACAGAGTCAAAGAAATGGAATTTTTTTAAAAAAAGGTTGTTGGTCCATGGGAAACTCATCTGGGTTTGCCCACTGGTGCTTATTGAAATTTGACTTCCATCTTCCCATAGACACTGGAAAAGGGGTCTATCTACAGGTGTTGGCTGGAACAATCAGTAAGTACTTTCAGTAACCTTCAGCTCTCCCAGCCAGGCACTTACGGGGGCTGAACTCATCATCCTAAGGAAGCTGCCTTGAGCTGTTAAAAACTACGTTTGTTCAAGTATTTTAATGTGAGGGTATGTTGGAGTGGATAAAATAATTTGTACTGAGAGTCTGCAGTTTTTATAGGTCAAGTTCAAGGTCAATAAGAAGGCTGAGAGCAGCCAGGCTAGAATTAAATCAAGCAGAGACTCTTCATCAGTGCCAATGAGGGAGGACACACATACACGCGCACACTCACGCACACACGCACGCAGGCACGCACGTTCCCTCGCTCGCTTGCTCCACAATCTTTGTTTTCTCTTATTTGTCAACTCCAGGGATAGAGGACAAAGCCAGTAAACAACTAGAGCTCAAATCAAGAAATTTCTCTAGATTGCTTTTCTATCTCCTGTTTTGAGTGTTATACATGGAATCTGAATCTGTTAGCACTCATCTGGGCTCCTGTACTCATTTTGCTTCTTTTTCATATCTTAACAAAGATCCAGAGTTATTACACTGCTAGGGCTTGAAAACTCCATAGGGGAAGGGGTTCTGGAAATGTTCCTCAGATTTCCTACTCTAATATCACCTCTATAGACAGATGTCTTTGGGCCCTAAGTCATGCCATGGCCTCTGGGTTTCTTTGACTGGTAGTCTTTGACCTTCTGGATGTGGAGGCTGGACCCTTACTCTCCAGGGCAATACAGTCTTGTGGGAGAAACACACATATGAATAGTTGGTTTAAATAAAGTGTGGTAATGTGCAATAATGAAGACATTTATAAGCTAGGCCATTATGGGAGCTTAAAAGATTAGTTGTGAACCCATCTGGGATCTGGACTGGGAAGGGTATGAGTTGTAGGGTGGCTGGGAAGTCAAAGAAGGGTCCATGGAAAAGATAATGCCTCAGCTGCTTCCCTGAAGATGAAATGGAGTCAACTGAACAACAAAAACAAATACAAGTGTCTTAGGGGGAATAACAGAATGAATCCAGTATGGAAGTCTGAATGAGCAGAGCATACATGAGGATGAGAACAAAAAACATGTGGTATTTATTACTGGACCACATAGAGTATGATATGAGGTGGTGGTTGATGGGACAGAAAAGCGGGCATGAACTAGACTAAGAAAAATCACACATGGCATCCTGTGGTCTTCAATGTGAGTCTCTCATTAGAATAACGCATGCTTAAACCCCACTCTCTGAGATTAAGATGCAGTTGGTTTGAGGTGGACCCCAGTCATCCGTATTTATTTAAAAGCTTTTTACCTCGTTCTAATTAATAACCAAGGTTGAGAGACATTGCCAAAGAGAGCAGCTAAATATTTCCCACCATAGAAAGGGAGAGTAACACTGTCTGATGGATAGTTAGGATAGTTTGCCTGGCAGTATGAAGAAAATGACTGAAATAGAAAACAAGAGGGATAAGAAAACATGGAAACTGAGAAACAAGTTTAACTGTTTCACAAGTTAAAAAGTAATAAAAGCTAGTTTAGATTTATTAAGGCAAATATGTTAAGAATCTTACTGTGGTTGGAATGTTCTGGAAGGCCAGAAAAATGCACCATGGGTGGAGACTCCAGGGAAGAGAAAGCAAGGACTGTGGCTAACTTCATGTGATGTCACTACATGGTACACTAAGAGACACAAAAGAGAAAGGTCACATGAACTAACTATTGCTTTACCTCCTTTCTTTATAAAAAAGATAGTTGATCCCAGACTTCTGAGAATGTCAAGTCCCCCACTCTGCTTTATGTAACACTTACTCAGCAAGTGTCTGTCAAATGCCCACCACGTATCTAATACCATTTTAGACGGGGACACTCAGAAGTAGTGGGGCAGTTGTTGTTCTTGCATTCATGGAGCCAGTGTCTGGGGTGGGCATAACACTGACACATAAACAATTACAAAGGAGCTTAAGAATGAAAGACAGGTCACTAAGGGACCATGCCTGAGGAACATTTAATCTACATTTCAGAAAAAGAATCTTGGGCTTTGGTTAACCTGATATCTAAATATGGAGGGTGATTCAGATAAAATTGGGGAGAGTCAAGGGAAATTAGAGATAATAATAGGGTAAGTAGCTCAAGAATATTTTGAAAGAACAGCATGTATAAAGATACAGAGAAAAGGATAGTATGGCATGTCAGGTGATCTGAACAACTGAATATTGCTGAAATGTAGTAGATGCACAACATTGTCAAGCGATGCTGATGAGAAGTTAGTAGCAGTGACAGTAGTATGAGTATCATAAGGTATATTTTATTCAGGGGCAAGTGAGACACAGGGAAGAGTTTTGGGCAGGCAGATAGGAAGATTTCCATTTTAGAAAGACAACTTTTTGCTTCAGTGTGGAGAATGGGTCATAAAGAGACAAGATTGGAGATGGGGAGAATGGCTAGGACACTTCCAGTAGTCAGCATCAAAGATGGAAAAGTACTTGGATAGGAAAGGGATTTAGATGGCTGATGATTAAAGATAGGAGGGGGGAATTGCAGATGGTAAGGTTTCTGGCCAAGACACCTGGTAGTGAAATGCGTTTGGAATGAGGGAAAGATGTGGATGGAGTTTAGTGTCTTTACAGAGACTGGGGACATATCCAAGAGTTTGAGCATCATCAACCTAAAAGTGGCCAAACAGAGCATACTAGAAATCAAGGCAGCAGACTGCATCATCCAATGAGAGCATGTGCAGTAAAAAGAAGACAGAAGACTCAGGAACACACCAGTACTTAAGGGACAGACAAAAATGATTTCAAGAGCAAAGATTTTATGTACACTGGACAGAGTGGGTGGCCCACACACTGTTTCTAGGAAGCAGAAGGTCAAAATCAGTGCACTTCAAGGTCCCCAGTTCCTGTAAGCACAGCTGGATTTCAGAGGAGGGACAAGCATGGGCTCATTTGCTAAACAACCTTTAGTTGTCCAGTTTAATGAGGCTGCAGAAACTTCCTGTGGGTGGATGGAGTAAAAAGCAGCTATACGGGAGTGAAAGGGAAGATTAAGGAACATAGAGTTTTCCTAATTTAGGAAGGAAAACCAAAGTGTGACCAATTTGGGGTCTTTTAAGTCAGTGTGTAGAGACATCTACCTTGAGAATTCCTTTTTCTTCGCTTAATAGTGATAAAGAGACAACTAAAATCTTCAGGAAAAGCCTTAAGAATTAGTTCTGCTGCGGCATTTTTATCTCCCATTTTTTCCCTCAAACTAATCAAACATAAGTTGTTGGTGGCTATGAGGAAAATAAGCACTGCCAGCTGCTGAAGTGAGGCGTATGAGGCCCTCCCTGGAGGGCGAGGAGGAAGCATCAGTCATTTTCTTGGGTCTTATGGACAGAGCTGTTCTCCTGCTACAA